TGATACATATAGGCGTCGTGAATCCATTGAATCTCATCTGCAAAAATCCCTAAGGATCATCAAGCATTTACAATGAGGCAATTCTGCCAACGTAGTATTTAAAAGAAGACTCTACCTCCACTCCTTGCTTTCGAATTTTTCCTATCTTTTTGACGGAGCTACACGATGTTGAAGTTCGACCAAAATATGCAATTCTATATTGTACAAGTGAAATTTGGCCGCATCTAAAATTGATTAAAATCGATCAAAATTGATTAAAATGATAAAAATAATTAAAACTGATTGTATTAGCCAGTATAAACGCTTGATTGACATGACCTGAAAGAGCATATTCACTATTGCGATCAACAATATGGGGAGATGGCATCCCATCGAAGATAGTGTTTACGGAAAGCTGTTCTGCCTAAAATCTTCGTGGGCGTCCCAAAGGCGACAAATCGATTACGTGTAGCTTGCTTCAGCTCACCAACTTTCGTTCTTATGTTTTTTTAGCTTTGGTATCGCCACGTCAAGCGTTGTTTCCGTCCAGTCCTGGCTCTCTTCGTCGCGATCGATTCTTCAGTCGCGTCCCCAGTCGCGTTGTTGGGCGCGTTCACTATTGTTTTGGTCCTCTTGGACTGGTGTTTTTCCACCTGCTTCCAAGAAGCCGTCAAAGGTGAACACCCAGCAGCTGCACTTCTCTTAAGCTAACGTGACGGTCTATTCGTTGTTGTGGCAGCAAGAGCAGCCTGAAAGCCTTTTGACGGCTCTCAGCTGCTACTTCGGTCTCCACCTCCCCATCAGATTCCATGTCAAAGTTTCTTTAATTGTTGACGACTCGCTACCGCTGAGGCTTCCACTAAGGATTCGGGTTTCTTACAGTTCGCTGTCGTTATCTTCGCAGTAACTGGTGCATCCACACCAGCGCCATTGCCTTCGTGAATAGTATCAAACACGCTTGTGGTTTCTCCACCCGACTTCTCTGTATTTCTTCGCTTGCTTCAACGAAACGTTTGAAGAGGATCTTCATCCACTCTACTTTCTTGGTGGGGCGTGGCATGCTGTTGATGCTGAGATCCTTTCCGACTCGCTTTGAGTTGGTGGAACATGGAGTGTAATCACTTGCTGCTGCAAGCGCACGACAGTCACGTGATGCGATGCGAAAATAAGAAACTTGTCTGATTTACTTACTAACGTTTTGGCCAAATTTGACCGCTCAAAATCACGATTTGTTGGTTATAAAAGTGTTCCGCACTATATGACAAAAATCAGGTTAGAGATGCCGTGCTTCATGGCTGATATAGACCATAATATTAGCCAATTCATAAGCACACCCAATGAGCGATAGGCAGATAAAGACGTATTCGTTCGCTCACTTCTCAATTTGAGCAAACACGGAAACGAACACCACAAGGAAAATTAGTATCGCACACTTTGAGTCATGCGAGTCAGCTGGATTTATATGCTACCAGGGATTACTATGTTTAATAGTAAGCTGTCTCGGAATCATATAGTACTCAAGCTTCATTTTAGAACGTGAAAGAAGTGTCTAATGTTGCTAAACCCACCATCGAGCGAGCGCTTTGATGGGATGTGAAGGCTGACGAGGCGACCGACGCGGATGACGAAGAAAGGAGAGAAAAAAGTTATGGATTTTTGAAGGAAATAAAACTTTCTATAGTGTCTCTCTTGATCAAGAACGCGATGATAAATAATACGTTGCGGGCGGAAAAATTCAAAATGTTTGTCTTCACGAAATAACAGAAGGATATTTAGAAAAACGCAATCCTTCGAAGAAATTCGCGACGAAACTCGCATACCAACTAGTCGACTCTGCCTGGCTTAGGGCTACATTCAACCTGGAGAGTACGAATCTAGCGCTTTGAGAAGCTTACTAAGAGAATGCAGGACACGTGGCTAATCAATATAGGCCAAAATCACAGTATCTTTAGACTAAATTAAAACAGTTCCCATCGATGCAGCCACAGCTCCCACTCTACTCCGTGTACGTATCCTTTTCACCGAAATAGGGACTTCGTGAGTGGTAGATCTTTTAGCAGGGGGATATAAAATTCTAAGCTGTAAATTATTTCTTAGCGCCAGAAAATAGTATAGCAGATTGTAGCATGTAGCAGTCAATTCCTTTAATTATTCGCCTGCACGAATGCAACATGGCAAAATTATGATGCAGACATTATTGTACGTTATAGCAAAGCGAATACATAGAACTAGTGCCTGGCATTAAAGCAAGCGGCGCCTACCACTTATAATACGTCCTCTCGTAGCCAGCTACGTGTTAACAATGCCATCCACTATCTCTTTCGTCAATGCGTCCTCGATGAAAACTAGAGACTTGAGCAGTCGACTCAGTTTGCAATCAGGTGTCCAAGCCTTATAAATTCCGACCGACGTTGGCTTCCCGGAGCAAGTGTGTAGTGGGAGCTTACCAGCAGCGACTGCATCATAGTCGCTCTTGTAAGCTACGGAAGCACCTCAATTTTCTGTAGGTCCAGCCGGTACATTAAGATCTTGTAACGCCCTGATACTCTCCTCTTTGGAAGGGCCTACACATCCCATACCGGTCATGGCTATCGAGCCACACGACGGACGTTTCTGCCGGATTTTTTGGGTGCCAACCAGTCCAGATTGGTGAAGGTCACTGGTTGAAGTGCTGTGCCGGGTAATAGAAAAACTGTCCAATCCGACACCGCGTGATCACGGTAAGCACTACTAATGATTGGGCGCACATACTGTTTAGATACAGGCATGCACCATGTGATTGCAAGCAGATAGTGTATAGACCCATATACAAATATACGTTTTTTTGAACAAGTAAAAGTAAAAGGTTATGAGCCCAAGGTGCCACCTCTCTACTATTTCACCCTCATTCTGTGCCTCCTATACCTCTTCCAGAATCTCGCTCTCTGTAAGCTCCGGCTGAGCATTCTCATCCTCTCCGATAGGAATAAGAAGCTCCAAAATCGTCAAGGGAGCTCGGACACGCAGCTGCTCTAGCTGGTCTCTTAGCTCCTGCTCCAGCGTTGCGACATCTTCAATTATCTATGTAGGCAAGATACTGTTTAATACTGTAAATTTACACAAAGCTTTCACTATTAGCACAGGGAAAGCAGCTGACGACGTGTCTCACACTTTTAGGCACGAGTCAAATACACCAAGGAGCCTGGGACTTAAGTTCTTTCCAGGTCTGTTTGTTTTATTATTGTTTAATTTCCCTTATGTACACTACGCAAACTCCGATAAGTTTCACCCACTGTTAAGTTATGGATATTGTCGTCCACCGTACCCATAACTTAACGGAGGGAGCTCTGTACCTTAGCAGGTTCATTATTGATGGCCATTATTCATTTATTTTTTTAATTTCAACTAAACACATTATACAGTTACCTGCAATCTCTAAATTTATTGCATTCGCAAAATGTAATATTCTTCTAGACATACCAGCTAAACCTTACATATGCGTAGGAAAGCTTAAACATAAGCATGTTTTTGACACATCATAGAAACATAATCTAAACGATTGTAATAAGGTAAAGCTTGTAAATATTTATATATTCAATCAGTTTTTTTGCGAAACACAAAGGCCAGAACCTAAAAAGGTAAACGAATTAAAGCTAATAATCACATAACGGAAATAAATAATTAACAAAATACTCGATTTGAAATTCTCTACTTACTTAAATAAAAAGAAAAGAAGGTAGAGAGGAATTCGACAAGCAACGTGCTGCCATCACTCGACAGCAGAACGGGGACGGCGCCGCGAATTGCTTGTCAACTATACTTAGTTACTTGAAGCCAGTCCCCGTCTGGATAGCAGAGTGTGCTCTTTGTTAGCGTAAGGTGGACGCGCTCGCAGTTTGCAATTTTATGTGGATTCTTGTGCGAAATTAATTTACGTAGCTTGTTAACATCTCGCAAAATTCCAAGGCATTAAATTCGATTCCTCGGTCGAATACAGACGTACTGCTAAGTCCTTCGAATATTCGGCCGTACTCTGGGCCGCTTATTCGGTTGCATAAAACCTCCAGCCCAATAGAATAACAGTCTAGAGCTCCGAAAATTTGCAAAATGCTGGCTTGGATATCGTCAGGCGCCGTTGATACACCCATCGGCAGGTGCTTATGCAAAGAGTTCCAAATGACAGGCAAACGTCACGAATGTTTTGCCGCTAGCTGTCGCGCGTAATACCTCTGTTTGTGTCAAAAGTCGAAAAGAATTGGAATCTTACATTTCACGGATGACAGGGACGCGTTTCAAAGACAAAAAACTGTTGAAGTCAATTAGCTGGCGGAGACTCAGGTCTGGCTTCCGTAGATAGCCATCTCAGAGTCGTAGGTACATTAAGATCTATAAAAAGCTGAATTTTGGTGTGAGTCGTTTGCTAGGTTAGTAAGCCTAACGGGTAGCAACGGAAGCGTATTTGGACGATATCGGTCGAATTTGGATGGGTGCAGTATGTGTATAGCACAAGTCATGTGTCGACAGCGTTCGCTTTCGGCAAGAAGATCGGTAAGGCCTGCCGGAATCATGGCTCTCCTCATTTTTGTTTGCTCGCAAGTCCGAGAGATCTTGCTTGACTTACACTAATTATTATGACAAGACGGATTTCATCGTCAGTCCGATCTAGCAAAAGGGTTAAATTAGTGCAATGTAACCTTCCTTCATTAGATTGACACTGGTAGCTTGATCAAAGTATCAACGTCTGGTATTACATAATTGTATACATTTATAACGAAATACCAACCTCGGTAAATTGTACCCCAGTCGTAATAATGCGTCGAATAAGGCTCCGATTCCTGCTATTCCTGCTCGTATTAATCTTCGTATTCGTGTCCTTGCTCGTATTCAATATCTTCTTTTCCTTTGACTTAAATCGTGTCACCTTTGCACAACGTTTCCGCTCCATTTCACACTCGATTACTTCTTTACCTTTGTGTCTGAATGTCAATAGCTCAGAATTTTTACGACCTGGTGCATTGCACGAGTTTCAGACGCGATGTGGCATGAAAAATACGTCGGTATTGGATACAAGACGGCGTAAAATACGCCTCGTGCACTTTGTTCACGTTGCATTGGATGTCGTCCCGGCTGAAGATGACGGAGAGCAGCAAGAAGAGACCAAGGAACAGTTTACGTACTTGCAATTTGCAGCCGTTCAATCGATCAAGCGGGTGCTAGAGCCAGATACGATGATGATGCACTACTTGGAGATACCTCGGGGTGTCTGGTACACTCAATGTCAACGTCATTTGGGACTGCATCAGGTTTTACCGCCCGTGTCATTTGATACCAGGCCGCTGACTCTGAACCGACAAAAAAGACGGCGGATCATGCAAGTTTTGATCATGCTACGCATGTTGAAGAAACATGGCGGCGTGGCATTCTCGGACTTTAACACGTTCTTATTGAGGAGAATTAACGTGGAATTGGAGGAGGAAATGGTGGTAGCTAGTCAGATGAGAAGCAACAGAGGGACGTTTAGAATGGGACTGCATATGATGCAATCGCCCCCAGGACATCCGTTCGTCGAGTATTTAGAACGCAAAATCGTCGAGATGGTGGAGAACAATGATGTGAAATTGCATGAATTGGAGTTGGACCAAGTGGTCGGACAAGTCGTGCTTGAGAAATACCTGGAGGAGCACCACCGAGCAGAAAGTGGTGCGAATGTGACTAAACCTCAAAGCAGCATCATGGATGGCGTGGTAATTGGCACGTCCAACTTGTTTGCGTTTGACGGACTGCATGACTTGCTCAGTGCGAAGGTGGAGCCGTCGCTTGCTGGCAAGTTTCGGGATGTAGCTGGATTTCACATCGATACGTACGATTTTGAAAAGAAGACAGCAGACACGGAGGATATTCGTACGATTGAACGGATGCAAGAGGAGCTCACGTTGGCAAGCGAGTGGAAAAGCTTGGATACGCTTCTGGGTGCGGTGGTGCGGCTAGTAGTGACTGCCAACACAAGTGCTGAGTTAGAACCAGTCTTCACTTAATAAATGGCGTCAGTCTCTTTAGAGCTGCGCTGTAAATTTTGTCACTAAACTGCTCTGGAGCTCTCGTCATCTCTTGTCGTGCGGCGGTCCTGTGATGAAACAATGAGTGCTGAATTCTGCTTGAGAAATGAAGATTACAAACGAGGTTCACTGTTTATGAACTAGTGGCTGGCATCACCAGCCTCGTCGACCTGCATCTCTCTGAGGCTGTGTAGCTAATCGAGTGCCAAGTTCAATTGCCGAAAACGAACGTGAGCCTCTTACAACTAACTTTTGGAATTGTGATTGCATCGCTTTTGTGGTATGGCATCTTTTCGTGGCGACCGTGAGGACGGCTGTATCTACCATGTTTGCGTTTCTATCGACTCACCACCGTGCGTCTCGAGATATGAAATGCTGCCCGAGTAGCCTAGAATTACTCTGTTTATGTGACTTGTATGATGTGAGTAGATTGAACTGGTAATACATTGGATGTCTTACACGGTTTTACAAGGGATCTGCAAGGAACGACATGACATGGCTTTGACATGAATGAAGGTAGAGGTCAAGATGTGAGTACAATTTTGGTAGCTGAACAAATCATTCGTCGTTCCCAAAATTGCAGCAACCTTTAGCTACAGCACACAAGCGACGCCATGTGTCCTCGCCGTTGCAATGGCGCCAACATACCAACTACTCCGCTTTCTGATCCATCAAGATCAGATTAAAGATACAGACAGCTCATTACTTAGGATGACGCTTCCTGTAAATAACTTGCGATCGTTTCTGACGAAATCCGTATATGGTAAATGCAAAATCGGTTGCTAACATTCTCTATCCTATGTCTTTGTCGGACCATAGTAGCATTCGCTGTATATAATATTTTCTCCATCATCATCACCACATTGCATGCCTAACATAATATCCAAGTTGTATAGACTCCCATGTTAATCGCAGCGCAAGCGCTGCACTACAGCAAACATAGGCAAAGAAAAGGGAAAAGTATCACATGCACAGTCAACTGCACCTAGTGTGGCTTGACGACTATAATAAGACTAGCCAAGAATTTACACAGGTCACATGTTTATGGTATGGAGATAGAAAAGTTGGGCATTACAGTGGAATGTGATCCGAATCGCCATTAAAACCAATTGCCTGAAGTTGAGTGCAAGTTTACTTTTGACTGCCCAAACAAAGTCTTGGTCCGTTTGAATAATCGATGTCGAACTGGGTTAGTGGGTAGACTCGAGCAATGCGTCGCGTGTCGTCATTGATAAGGTACCATAGTTCTCTGAAGACACAAAGAATAGACATCATTTGCCGGCATCATTATCATCTGTTTGTCGTAGGATACTTGCAGACAAGAGTACCTATGAACCATTTATGATAATATAGGACTAAAGGATCGCAGTTTGGACAACAAAGACATAAATGAGAAAAAAGAAGGTTGAAATCTTGGACTAGTCCAACGACTTCACGATGCATGGAAGGATACCCACTAGCTTTGTTTTGATGCTTCGAGTATAGTTAGAATACGCAATTCAAGTGTCTATGGTCATGGCTTTGAAAGAAATAACATTTTGTAAACAAATAAGACGTTCATATATATTCAAAAAAAGAACTTACATTTTTTTCGGTTCTACAATAAAAGTAACTAAAGCTTGTAGTAATTAATTAGTAAATTGTATAAATAAGATAATCATTGTGCATATTAAGCTATTTCTAACGTATATAATTTGATTAAAAACGATATGATCAATCAAACTCTATTTTCAAAGACCTATAATATAAAAGAAGATGTTATTTACCAACCACCTCTGTGCTATCCATAATATGCTGGTGGTGCTGGTGCTTGACGACGAAAGTTTTCGGCATTGTGGCCTATATGTTAATACATTCGACATTTCCGGCGTCGCACAGGAGCTCGCAAACCAGCGGCAACACAACGGATCCCATTACCAAAAAATGTTTAGTGTGAAAGCTTTGACATCACCGTCTTTTGCTTGCCGATCTTTTTGTGCGTGTGATTACACAGCATAACCTCCCTGCTACATATATGAGAATTAGTTGCAGCTCTTGCTTGCTGCAGGGATGCATATGCAAGCTGCGGAGGTGTTACAACGTAGTTTAAATGAAGACAAAAATGTATTATTATTTACTTTCTTTTTCTACTTAAAGAATAAGAGGGTGTAAAGCATTCTGATCAATCAGATTTGAAAAATTGGGATAAACGTAATCAAATAAAAATAGAAGTGCTTTATAAGGTTGACAATTAATCTACTTTTATATGTTTTAATGTGAATGAATATCGTTTCGAATTAGAAAAAACGTATCGTATCTACAGTAGCAGCTGATCCCAAGTTAATTTAGCTAAGAAATGTTGAGCTGAAAGAAGCCAAGTACAGACAAACTCGTCCGTTTATTATTATCTTACAGCAAACCCTTAACAACACTGAAGTCTTCATGAAACTCTGCTAATGTCTCCTTCTTTCTCGTAGCTGTTTTTTGCATCTATAAAAGAGCTTGCAGGCATGCTCGTCAAAATCTGACCTAAATCGAAGAAAATGGTCGCAGTATTGTCGAATTAAAATACAGCTTCATATAGCTTACAATTTGTAGCCTTACATAACCACTCAAACTAAGTTGTGGCGAAGTGCATAGGAGGGGCCTTAGCCCACATGTTTTTGCCTTGTTTTCATCATCACGTCTACTATCACCGTGTATGTCTGCTCGCAGGAATCTGCCTATCATCTTGAGAAGCTCTGCATTGTATCTCAATTGAGGCTCACGCACCCGTTCGGTTCGTAGTTATCATCTCTCCAATCTCCTTTTCTTCCTTTTTTATTTTGCCGTCTCATGTTCCTATTGCGTCATCTTTCTCGCAATGTCGAGCTTCACGTCAAAGCGTTCACATTCCATCGCGTCGATACAGATCAGTCAATTTTTGCCGCCTCTTATCACTGAAAGAAGAGGCTACTGAGACCTAATTACCGCTTTTGGCTTGTACAGTACATACTAAAATGCTGGCACCCGCCAGGGTCTTTCTAGAGTCTCATCCATTGAGAAGGTGCGATACCATTCATTTTCATTGATAGCGCTAGCACACGTACGCAAGCCCCGGTAATGGTACGCTGAGCGCTTTCAAGTGGATCACTGTTAGTATGTTGAAAGGAATAAAAAGTCAAACTAGCCGCTTATTTGACTTTTCCTTCATCTTTCAGACGCATAATGGACATACCACTGCACATGCGCATGTATTTTTGTGTTATCTCCAAGCTACTGACGCTTTTTCTGCAAATGTTTAATTGCATGTTCGAGGCCATCACACGCAACTTACGATTTAGTAAACCGAATGTCAATCGGAGCTCGTCGCTATTAGCAGCAAAGTAATTGATTACACCTTACAAGGGAATGTCGTGCTCCTAAGCTGTTGTACACCCGAGTCATCACATCATCGGTGTTGACAGACCAGTTCTATCTATAATGTATGCGTGAGATTTTAGATCGCTTTGTGATTTGGCCGTCCAATTCTTGAGTCGTAGCTCAAGACGGCCCCCTTTCTGCCCTATACAATGCGCCGAAGCGATCCGTGAAAGACGAACCTACTATACAGACGATCCAATTTTGTTTGCACTGTTGCGACAATTATGTGCATGTGTGATCAAATTGTGTTGCCAATTGGAGGTTGTGGTGACACTTTCTCGAGGTTATAGCCTACTAAACAAGCAATCAAGATAGCGCAGATTTGCCGTTAAAGGTGTTTTGGGCTAGCAAGTGTGGTACACTCATCATTAATCGTGCCTATTAACTTCATAATTGTTGAGAGGTTCATTTGTCCGTCTTGTGTAATGAGACCGCTGTCACGATTTGCTTCAAATGCCGCCGTCGGAGCACAGTTTGTGTTATCCTGACAAGGTACTAGTCGAACATAGCATTCTCGATTCTGAAATACTTATAACAAGTTGATCCTTACCACCGTTACCACCATCGAGGTTCTAAAAGATGCCAGCATGGTCTAAGTTTTTCTGGTTGCTGGCACTATTAGTGGCCGCAACCAGTTGTACGGTGACCGAAGCAAAGACATCTATGCTCATTCGTCGGATGAGCGCAATACTACCAACGATGGCAACACCTTCAGCTTTGTCTACTGAGAGAGATTCAGACGATCACGACGGCTATGACTCCAACTACCATCAGTCTTTGTCATCAAAGGACACCGACCACGATGATGAGGTTTCTTCGTCTGAAAGTGACATCGACTCGGACGGCGACGATCATACATCATTGTCGTATACGGATTCGTTACCAGCAATAACTTTTCCAGACGACATCAAGATTGGATCGGCTGTCAATACAAAGGACAAGATTGTGTCTACCTACCGCAACTGGGTCGGTCCTAGCATTGGAAATCCATCGAACCCGGCAGGTGATAAAGCGTGCTGGCGCAAAGCTTACATCATGGAGGAGTGTCCCTATGGATTCGACCACAAGATGGGAATGTGCTGGTCTCAATGCCCAATGGCTTACCCCGTGGAATGCGGCTTCGAATGCATCAAGCAAAACGATGACTGCGGAGGCGAAATCTACGCAAAGTTTGTGAGTGTGGCCAATGCGTTCATGTCCGTTCAGATTAAAGGAGTCTTTGGAGCATTTTCGGCACTATCGAGGAAAGTGCGAGTCGGCATCAAGTGCGCCAGAGCCATGCTCGGCACGATGCGTGCTATTGTCAACTACGTTCGCGCCCTCAAGGTTTCGGATCCACAAGCGACGCAGGATAAGATCCTTTTGGCACTGTACCAGACGAGCTACATCACAATAGACCTACCTGTCAGTACTGTCGTATGCATGGGAAAACCTTACAATGACCCCATCCTTGATCCTCTCAGTGTGACTATGGGTACCTGCCAAGTGATACTGGGCGAGATCATGGCTCGGCAGGACAAAATTTTAAAGTCTTGGGATCATTTTAAAGCCTTCCTCCTCCGCTTGAACTACACTTACGCTGTAAACGATTTAAACGAGACGGAGATTTCGTCGTTGAAGACTGGTATGAAGTCTAGTTCTACGTGTGGATACGAGCTCCAGCGCCTTACTGATCGAACGTGGCGAACAATTGCCGAGATGAAGGAGGCGAACCCCGGAGTTACCGAGGATAGTCTCCGCGTGACACTGTACAAGTCCGACCTCATGTTGAATGACATCCCTACAGTCACCAATAACTGCATGGAGCAGATGATTATGGAATCGGACGAAGCCACTGCTTACAAGACGCGTGACTTGCTGCGCAAGACGTACGGCGTGATTGTGAACGACTTGATCAACAAGGGACACAGTGACAACGGCACGTCATTGACCGCTAAGCAGTACACTCGAGTTGTAGCTGACAAAGTGTTCATGAGTATTGCTACAGTCTTTTACATCGATCTTACGCGTATCTCCGGTCTGATGTCCGAGTTCATTGAAGCCATATGTGGACCGACAAATCTCGTCGGCGAGATTGACGATGGCACAGACCCCAACACCCTCGGATTTCGAATAGTGCAAGAGGCATTCAAGAACAGCACCATGTCTTGGCAGCGGAGGGGCGACGGCGTAGTCCGAATTACCTTCACCAGCGTTGACACGAAGGACGTAACAGTCAACATCTACTCTGGCGGGGACAAGTTCGATGAGCAAGACGTCCCGGCAGGTAAAATCGTGACGTGGACATCAACCGTGGAAGCACTGGGAGGAAAGACGCTTTACCTCGATCGATGGCGACCAGGGTTCCTTGGTCTCCCACGCACTGGTGGTGGCTCGCTGAAGCTTTGGGTGCCTCGAGCTAGTGAAGGTGGCCACTTGCAAGTCAACGCAAAGATCAATGATAGTTAGTTTATTGGTAAATAGTACAAGTCGAGTAGTGCACTCGTAGTTTGTACACATAGAAGTGCAAAACTGAGCAAATACATTCATGGTACACAGAGGGAAACGTTAAACCTGTGCGTTTGATGAACGGATTCTCTCCATTTTCGAAGCGATGCAAGAAATCGCAGCAAACGTGATATACAATGTCGCTGTTATACACCGATTTCGAGCGAACACTCTACAAAATGGTGATTATTCGGTCACGACTCTGTCTCTGCGATACACTGCAATTTTGACATGTGCCTTTCACCAATAAGGACGCGGTATAGCTTCATGTCGTAGCTAAGCGATCAGAAAGGCTCGATAGCCCTACTCGATTTGTAATCAGTAGATATTGACAAGCCCATTAGACAAAAGTAATCATTTGCCAAGAAATTGATCATTTGTGTATTATCGAACGGTAAACAAGCAGACAAACCTCTTGTCAAAAAGCAGAGGTTATCACAAAGTTCGTCACTTTTTTCGATTAGAGAGAAATATTAGGGACGTGTCAAATTATTCTACATTATGACTTTCCTGAGTACACGACATGAATGCTTCTACACCTCGCTCACGTTGTCGACGCAGAAAAGCTGGAAGCTTCCAGTGGCCTCGTCAAATTGCATGTGCTCAGCAAACTCCTTGTCCGTCATAAATAAAGTAGTCGATACCTTAAGGGACCCCACTTTGTTGACCAAAGCGCCTTGAACAGGATCACATCGGCATCCTCAATATAAGAACCAGCATCTTCGTAAGTCTAAGATTGTCCCCTTTGACAACGTACTTGAGCCAAAAAAAGTGTGCGACCATCGTCGCAATAAATGAATTGCTCAATTTGGTTGAGATGAACAGCAGCGGGGCAACTACCGCACGGCACGAAGAACTCGGCCACTGTGCAAGACGAGGACCACGATGACTGCTTGCTCAGATTAAAACACGATGACTGCTTGCTCAGATTAAAACACGAGACAAGACTACATTCTTGCCCCACACAAATACTCAAATTCTTGGCTTAAAGCCCCATAGTATAGTATACGCCTTGGTATATTTTTTATTTTCCCCATCTTGTTTATTTTTTCGTATCTATTTTAATTGATAGCATTATTTGGTATATATTGTATCCCTATACTACAGGTACGCAAATTCATATCATTTGATTGAGAAATTACAAAATTCTCATCTGTTTTCAATGGTTTTCAAATGAAGCAATTTAACAATCCGCTTCTTCTGAATCAAATAAACGATTGAGAATGCTACACTCAATAGCATTTTATGCTGCTTTGTGTCTTCTAAGCGCAGTGTCACCTAACAAAGCTTCCCAGACAATTATACAAATGCAAGATGGGCTGCAAACTGGAAGTATGAACATCGGTCCTGCATTTTATGCTGGATCAATACCGTAGGCAGTTGGCTGCATCATCATTTGAAGTATAAAAACAGCCACAAACAGTAGAGCACTACAGTACAGTAACCAGCAGTGGAACAGGTCAGCAATCCAGCTCAGCAATAAAGCTGGTATACATTCTCCTTCAAACTTTGACACTACACATTTCTAGCAAAAAACATCTTAGTGTGCCAACCCTTCAAATATCACAGATCTGATGACTGAGACGGTTGCAGCTCCAGCTGAGCTGCGCTCCGGCTCCATGTCGCGTCGACTTCAACGACATTCATTCTTCTGTCTCTTGTTGACCAAGCAGCAGCATGAGCTCACCCTCACCTGCTCGACGTGCTGTTTCACCACCGTCTACTACTTGTGTAGCCACCTCATGTGGACACCATCTGACGTCGAGTCACGAAGAAGGCAGCAGCGACAGCGACTACGACGAACAAGCACTCAACAATGAAGAAGATTATGAAGAAGAAGAAGAGTCGGCAGCAAGTGGCTCGGAAGTTGAAGACCTTACTCGCGGTAAAAGACGTCGACAACGAATTCACTTCAACGTCGAGCAATTGCAGACGGTTTACCACCTTCCACTCAAGACGGTGAGCGCTATCGTAACATTTGGACGGTTGGCACATAGATGCGGCAATAACAGACTGACATGCAACACATTGCATGATGCTTATGGCAAAGTGCATACGTAGTGTAGCTAGAGTGATTGTAATAGTAACGATCACGAACGTTGAGTTGTGTTCAGGCAGCGGAACAACTCGGTATTTGTGAAGCAGCGTTAAAACGGATTTGCAGACGTAATTTCATCCAAAAGTGGCCGTACAGACAGTTGTCGTCCGTTCGTCGACGTATCACACAGCTTGAGGACCGTCGTGCTGACATGGTTGCTAACCATGGTGGTACGAATGAATTTAACCTGCGAGAATACTCATCTAAGCTTCCGTCTTACAAAGTACTTTATAAGTAGACAGACTGGAGCATTTTACACGTCGTGAGTTCCAGGAACACACTTCCTTTGTGACACCAGAACAGTTTGATATAAAGCTGCAACAACTGAAAGAGGAGGAGGACCAGATCATCCGATTGGCCCACCAACCACGTCTACCGACACAAACAATTGGATCTTGCACGACAACATCGTGTCAGCAACACTTACAAGAACAGCGAGAACTACAACGACCGATCCTGAATGAAGAACGAATCGTTCATTCACACGGCGTACAAAGCACAATTGCGGATTTACCGCCATTGGACCTCGGTCGCGTAGATCGCGAATTTCCACTATTGTTGCTAGCCAACGTGTGCGAGTCTGTCCGAGCTTACATTTAATAGTTTTTGAGCCCTCTTCAGCCATCCAGTTGACGTCAAGCATAACCTCTCTCGAAATTCTCGAGGGTTCCTCAACTTCATGTCATCACGAATCACCAAAAAGGCATGCCATTTTTTATATTTTTTGTGGTTACCAACTACTCGTGTTTAAACACTTTTATAAGAGTTAAAAAGCTTTAAGCATTAATTTTATATTTTTGTGACAAAAGAATAAAAATGGGTAATTTGCACCCCCCTATTTTACGGGTACCTATTTACCCAATTTTAAAGACATGAGCAGCGACCAAATAATGGGTAAGAACAATTATGTCCAATTTTGAAAAAACCTCAAAAATTCCAAAAAATTGGACATAAAGCCTCAAAATTTGCGTTATTTGCCCCCTTAAAGACTTTACTATATCAATGCCATATCATGCGCAGCGTAATCGACGTTTATTAACTGTTTACTGACATTTTATCGCTAGAAGCGGTATGGTGTGCTCTGACGGTTCATATACACGTTCTATTACTTAGTCATTGTATGAGCGGGCCTTCTTGTCCGCTCATACAATGACTTAGTAATAGAATGAGTAATCGTAAACCGTGCCCTTACTAAAAGCCGTGCTTGCTGCAGCCTTCAGTTCAAACGTTATTTATCAACAAGTTGTCTGTACAGCGTCGTGTAATGAAAGAAGCGCTAAAGGAAAAACCACTACAACAACACTGCGTTTGCGTCATCAGACGCTGCGGCTAGCAAGAACGGAAGCGTAAAATTGGACTGTTAGCCCATATACTAAATTAAAATGGAGAGGATTGAATACAGATTATCCTCCAAAAGTTATACTCCGATATTATCTCGGTAGGTTGTCAAATTTTGTGTCCACCGAGCTCGTTCTATGGTCGCTAAGTTATAAGTTAAAAGTTATACTCAGCGAAGCAATATACCTTTAAAACATGAGTGATCTTCTTCTTTTTTTAAGAGAAAATCTACGTAAAACACATGTCAAGTGGTGGGTGCGTTGCGGATGTCAAGTAGAAGGTCGCAAAGGACTCTATAAGCAGCTTAGTAACTTTCCTGGGATACATCGAGCTGGGAGCAGGTATCATGAAAGATGTTAATATTTTTGGTTCTAATGAGCTTGTGTACGCCAGGCGCCACACCGGCCAATAGTTACACAGGTTCGTTAAGCAAATGATACTTAACAAAGAGGTCTAAAAGGGTACGCGGTACCATAGACCTGAGGCACATCAATGTGACTCACCCTCGTGAATGTGATATTCATTGATGGTTTCACATTCGAAGGGGATGACGCTCAGTTGGGACAACGCGTCATGGTGACGTCATAGACGGACGTCATCAGCGAGCTTAACTATATTTGAGCTAGCACGTAGGGATACGCTTCTAAAGAGACGCGCATACAATCTTTGCATAATCAACCAATCAGTTGTTAAGGTTATAATAAATTATTGCTATTGAATATAAGTCACTCTTGGATTTGCTAACTGACACTCACTGCCCACGAATAGCTGAATAAGCTTCTGCGTGGCGCAAGTGAAGCACTTGTTCAGAACTTCGTCGCGCTATCGCTTTAGGCGACCGGCAACCATTGGTGCGACCGCTTAAGCGGTCGACTTAGCATCCCACCACCGCGCACGGTGGTTAAACGGTTTGACCGCTGCCTCGCGTTCTTGAAGGTGTGTGCCAGAGTAGCACTTGGCAGTTTCCTTGAAGTGACAGTCTATCTTCACCCTTTTCCTATGCCTTCTTTACCTCTTTCAAAATCTCGTTTCCGGCTGAGCAGTCTCATTCTCTTCGATGGGATTGATAAGCTCCGAAATCGTCATGGGATCCTACGCAGCTACTCTAGTTGCTCTAGCTCGTCTCTCAGCTTCTACTCCAGCTTTGCCACATCTTGAATTATTTAGGAAGGTAAGACACTGTCAAACACTGTATATTTACATATAGCGTTCGCTATTAGCACAGGGAAAACAAATTGGTGATGTGTCTCTTACCTTTGGGCACGGGACAAACTAACAAAGAAGACTGAGACTTAAGTTTTTTTCAGCAGTCAAACCCTTGGGGCTGGATCCTGGCCTTGGAAGTGAGGATGGTTCTGGTTGCCCAAGTACACTTTTTATTATTTAGATTTCTCTTACGTACTATACACAAAAACTGATAAGTTATAACCTCTGTTAAGTTATGGATATTGTCGTCCACCGTACCCATAACTTATCGGAGAAAAATCGATCAATCCTCTAAGCACGCTATACACCATGCGTTCGTGTAGACTTTACTGAATGTAATCCGACTGATTACGTTTCAAGCAAACGATTAGGCGTTTATATCCGAGAGTAGATCAACTCTAAAAAAATGGCTTCACACATAAGTCAGTTTTCGACCTGCTAAGCTTTTGCGGTACAATGCAAATAGCATCTCAATCACCAGCACGCGCAGGAGCTCCGTTGCGTGCCGCAGCCGTCGTTGAAGACAATCCAGATCACTAAAGGAGCTCGGTGAGCGATAAAAAGGTTTTAGTGGCCCTCGTCGCCCTTTCGGACTGCATGAAGAACATAAAAACTTCCCAGGTGCAAATCAACGAGAATGAGCGTATGCGCGGAGCGATCGAGATTGGAATGTCTCTTTCCGCTCTTAGTGCGAACATGGGCGCTTGAATGATGACGAACGACGCGCTAAGAACTCGACACAGTGCAACCCATCGACTTGTTCAGCGGGCGCTTGTGTCGTCACCTGACTTCAAATACTCGTTGTTTTCGTCTCTCGTGACGAGATCACCAATGCCGTACCAGCAGAAGACGCAGGCACGCGCTCCGGTCGACTTCGCGTCTCCTCGCGTCACAGCGCCGCAGCCAGTAGCGCCAGCTCAGCAGCAAGGTGGTGTGGGGCTCACAGAATTTCAGATGTGATCCCGACTCTCCACTACCGTCCATACAACCATCTATCGGAAGGGGTGCTCCGTTTCCGTGTAAGGAAATTCCTTCATCACCTTGTGTACCCGTCGGCAGGGCGGGTAGCAATCTTCTCGGTGGATTTGAGTCGATGCTAAACTTGACCGTGCTTGGGATTGGTTGAGGGTCGATCGCGCAGAAATCTTCATGCGATAGAGGGTTAATTGAGGCACTCTATTTGAGTTGCCCTGATGATTCTTAAGATAGTCTTGTCTAAAAAATGTAGATACTTGATCCACTTGATACCTCTTGACCTTCTGACCACTCGAACCGTCTCGCTATCTTATATCTTTTCCTTTAATTGATACTGCGTCCAATAGCAGGCGAAGATTGCTCATGAGAGATCTTAGAATCGTTGATCCAAACTTTTGATCGACTTCACCACAGGGACGCCAGTATCAGTACGGCAAACGTGCAGTGCTTTTTCATGGCTTTCCATGCATCGCTTGTAAACTTACAGGCTCGCGTTTCTAAAGTGGTCGGCGCTAGTCTGACTTCAGTGTAGTGGAGTGGAATTCGCAAAATTGCTGATGTGATCCCAGCTATTCTTGGGGTGCTCTATTTGAGTCGCCCTGATCTCTCTTGAGATCGCCTTGTCCAAAAATGTAGATACTTGATCCACTTGATATACTTGATCTTCTGACCACTTGAGCCGTCTCGCGATCTTGTACCTTGTCCTTTTCTTGTTGTGCTGCGTCCAATCGCAGGGGGAGTTGTTTGTTGAGAATTCTTGCAATCCCTGGCCAAACAATCCAGGGATATGACTTGCGTAGTATGTGGACTTCCTTGAGACGTCGGGAGGCCAAAGAATTCAGCCCGGAAGAGAAGTCGACACGTGTATTTAGAAGCAAATTGAACTCTGTTAATGTTAACCAATCAAATACCAAAACCTATGATCTTGACTATCTGTAGCTCAGGATCTGTTGCCACGTATCGCCCTTTCGGAAAAATCAGATCTTGTAATGTGGTCCACTCCAATATCGCCGCGATCTGGATCGCTACCTCGCTCGGATATAATACCATTTTAGTACCAGATCGCGGTACTAAATAATTAATATCGGATCGCGGTACTAATAATTAGTATCGGATCGCGGTACTAAATAATAAGTATCGGATCTCGATACTAATAATTAGCATCGGATCGCGATACGCCGGATCACGACTTGTCCTCTTCACCGTTTCTCAGGTCATGTGAGATAGCTCATCTATGTGACATGTCATATCCACTATTCCAGTCCTCCATAGCGACGTGATCCACACCAGACCGTCTTCCACATGCTTGGATGTACCCATCTTCCTCCTTAGCGATCGCGTTCACGCGGATCGCCATCGGAAATACTGGAGATCGCAATAGCGTAGTTCCTAGGCCATATTTGACCCCACATAGAACTGCAAACTACACCATTCACTGTTTTCCATCCCATTTGACGTCATCTCCAAACCTTTCTGCGAGATCGCGACTCATCAATATTGGCCACGAGATCGCGACTCATTAATATTGGCCATTTCGGACTTAACCGAAAATATGCGATCACACTTTGCGAAATTCACTCCTTCACTTCGCCACATCAGCGAACACCTTGAACACGATATTATTAATATCTTAATTACTAATTTGCGGCCCGATGTAATTGTGGTGGAGTGGGATTCACAAAATTGCTGATGTGATTTCAGCTCTCCACTGGCACCGACTAACGGAGGGGGTACCGCGATTCCGTGTGTATACCCTTCCTCACCTTGTGTACCCGTCGGTAGGGCGGGTTGCTCTCTTCTCGGTAGACTTGAGTCGATGTTGAACTTGATTGTGTTAGGGATAGGTGGGGGGCGATCGAGTGGAATTACTCACACGATCGCAGTTGTTCTTGGGGTGCTCTATTTGAGTCGCCCTGATCTCTCTTGAGATCGCCTTGTCCAAAAATGTAGATACTTGATCCACTTGATATACTTGATCTTCTGACCACTTGAGCCGTCTCGCGATCTTGTACCTTGTCCTTTTCTTGTTGTGCTGCGTCCAATCGCAGGGGGAGTTGTTTGTTGAGAATTCTTGCAATCCC